CACCTCAAGAAAACTCTGGGTTTTTTCTTCTTTTTTTTTTTTTCATTTGTAAACTAATGGCAATTTAAAATCTTAGCATTGTTATGAAATATCAGTGAGTTACCCATGCAAACTGTATTGTTCAGCATTTAGTATTTAATAAATTTTAATAAATATTCTTATTTTTTATATATAATTGTTTACATTTGAACTTTACAGATTCAACTTGTGGTCACATTGTTTATATTTTGCCTTTGTCTCAAAGGAATAGAATTAGAATATACTTCCTCTTGACTTAGCATTTACATAAGTTATAACCTTCAAATTCAGAATATCCAAAACACACCATAAAGTATAACATTTTTAAATTTTTTTCTTGAAAAAAAATTGGTGTGTTTATGCTGTGCCTCCAAAATAAGATGCAGGTTTTTTTTTTCCCTTCGGACAATAGAGAATTTTGAAAATTAAAAGTAAGTTTTTAAATATTACTGAATATATGTACCTTTGGAAGTATAGAAATTAAAAAAAGTAAAAACAAGATTGAAAATTTTTGATAATTCTTCTATACCAAGGTAACAGTTGTTAACATTTAAAAGATCGTTTCCAACTCATTTTATAAACATCACTGTCTTGTAATACCATTTGTAATACCATTGTAATACCAGCTAAACATTTACTCACAAATACAATTGTTTTGAAAAGATTTTTAGAGGTATAACTGCTAAGTTAGAGGGAATACATGCATTTCATGCTATAGATAAGTCTTCATATTTAAAAATATTTTGTCTGACATTTAAAAATATTTTGTCTCTTGGTGTATGATTAGATTGCAATCCCTTGTATTTTCGCCGATTTTCAAAATCCAGGTAAAAATCTTTTACAGGGGCACCTGGGTGGCCCAGTCAGTTGGGAGTCTGACTTTGACTCAGGTCATGATCTCACAGTTTGTGGGTTTGAGCCCCCTGCCCGGCTCTGTGCTGACAGCTCAGAGCCTGGAGCCTGCTTCAGATTCTGTGTCTAGCTCACTCTCTGCCCCTCCCTCCCTCTCTCATCCTCTCTCTCTCTCTCTCTCTCTCTCTCAAAAATAATAATAATTTTAAAAAAACATCAAAAAACAGTTTAAAAAAATCTTGTACAAACATAATGCTGTTTTATCTACAGAATAACAAAATTTCACTTAGAAGGTTTTGGTCAAAATTGCTATGTATTTCCTTATCGGAAAAAAAATTATAAATGATGGATCTGTAAATACATTTTCAACCTATGCAAATTAGAAATGCAAATTAGAAAGTGACCTTATTCTAGAAGTGGCATCACAAATCAAAAGAATGGATGATTCGATATAAATATGGTATACAATAGTAGCGTTCTTCTTTACTTCGCAGTGCATGGGGGATTACACTTCTCCACACCCTTGAAGTCAGGATTGGTAATGTAACTAGTAGTTACAACCAGTGCACAGAAAGTGGAAGACCATTGGCTCTCCATATGAAAAATAAAGAAATTAAATTATTATATTACATGATAAAAGACACAAAGATAAATTCTAGGTATATTAAAAATCTATCCATGAAAACAAACAAGCAAACCACTCCACAATATAAGCTAGTGCGTTGACCTTATGCTAAGATATTAACAATCTGTGAAAGTCGTATGTGTGAAAATGGGAAAATTTCAGTGCAAACATTTGAAGGGTGACATTTTATTAAGGCCTGGTTTTTGATATCTATGATGAAGAAATATTTACATCCAAATTTCATTGTCAATAATTCTGTGCCTCTTCTCCACAGTATAGAATGCTTAAATTTTATCAAATGAAGCATATTTTTGAAATACTGGATAAAATGAGATGCCTGCGAAAACGTTCCACAGTGTCATTTTTGGGAGTTCTTGTCATTTTCCTTCTCTTTATGAACTTGTACATTGAAGACAGCTATGTTCTGGTAAGTTTTGGAGGTTTTTTTATTTTTGTTGTTACACATAAAGCTGAAGTCAAACTAGATTTAGTCCAATTGTAACATAACTTCAATCCTAGGCTGCTGGCATAACCTTAGTTTGAGCAAAACTATGACATTTATGTTTTCTATCAAGCTAATTTTTGTATTAATTATATATTACCAGCATTATAATTATTTTGATTTATGTCACAATGTTTTCTTTAATTCTGTATATAGTAGTTCAAATATGTATATTGTATAAATAAATTAGCTATCATCACCATACTGAATTAATAGTATATATAACCATTTTGAGATTTAGTTTAAAAATATAGATTTTTAAAAATTGCTTAAAGATATGAGTCCTTTATCAATTTTCTTATCAAAATTTTCAAAATTCTACATTTTAACTAATGATACTAATTATGCTATTTTGTTATCATATATGACACTTCATTTGATTTTGAATAGGCATAAATGGCCACCATGTTGTATATTTAAATTCACTGAAAAATAACATAGAACTTTAAGAACTAGAAACAATGATGTGAAAAGTATTCAGTAGTTTAAAAAAAGATAAATTAGAATATAGCATATAAATTAACTTTTAATTAAATTCTAGAAATGGACAAAGGACTTACTCTGGTTAATTCTGAGAACTCAATTTGTTCTATTACTTATTATTGTTATAAGTTCTATTACTTGTTATTGTTATAAGTATCACATCATTTCATGTCTGATGAGAATAACACGGTAATTATTGCTTATTCACTTTCATTCTGAATTGAGCTTAAGTTATCTCGAAAAGTCCTAATCTTTACACTATTATTCCTGTTCACATATTTCAGAAAATCAAAATCTTTGGACATACAGAGGACTAAAAAGTACTTTCCATTATGCAAGCATGCTGACAGTTTCAGTTAATATCTTATCAAGAGAAAATCTGACAATAACCACAAAAAGCATTTCCCAGTAAAATGTTTTATTAATTGAACATGATTTTTTAACTACCCATGATTTGTCATATACTATTCTATGTCCTATAACCTAACCATTTGATCTTAGTTGGTACAGATATTCTTTGGAAGTTTTGTGTAAAGCATTTTACTTCCTTTAGCATTGTTTGATGATGAAATTCTGCCAGATTCCTAGATTTTGGTCCTGCCTATGCCTTTTACATTCATGTATAGGTCTTGATCTTGTGGACCCTTCATTCTATTATCCACAGACAATTCACAAAGGCTGAAATCACCTCAGATTCATAGAATTTGACTAGGGATGATTTAGGTAAACATAGCAAATTGGAGAAACTTACTAATGATATGCATTTTGATTTTTCTTTAAACCTGATTATTAGGTTTATAAGACTTAAAGACAATATAGCAAGACCCATGTGATCCAGCTATTTTTTTTCTCGATTAAATTAAAGATCATAAATTAACTAGAAGAGCTTTTGATAAGTGATTTAATTTTGTAATAAAAAATTATTTCTTACATCTGTGTCTACTGGTAGCAGTAAATCACATCTTGTAAAGGAAACACATAGTATTAACAGGATACCTATTGCATTTAATGATTTGCTGCATTTATGAGACACTTTCAAACTCAATTCCAGTGTCTCATTTGAAACAGACAAAAGACCATTGTATGCAGCAAGCATCCTTCTATCTTGTTGATTTAAAAGCTCTTCAAATTCATTATAAAATGTGTAAGAACTAGTAGAGTATATATCTATAAGAAGATCAAATACTAATGCTCTTTTACACATTTCTATCTACACTTCAGTCCCAGCCATCTAATGTAAAAAGGTATGATTTAATGAAGTAGCTCTTACTAAAGAGTACTTTCTTGATGAAATTTTCTCTGGCTATATTAGGCATATATCTAGTCAAATTCACAAATCAGCCCAAGTATAGAGAAGGGATTGCTCCTTAGCTTTAAAATTGAAATTATTTGAAGGTATCTGGGTAGCTCAGTCAGTTGAGCATCCAACTCTTTTCTTTAGCTCAGGTCACGATCCCAGGGTCAAGGGATACAGCCCTGAGTCCGGCTCCATGCTAAGCATGCAGCTTGTTTAAGATTGTCTCTCCCTCTGCCCCTCTCCCCTGCTCATGCTCTCCCTCTCTCTCTCTCTCAAATTAAAAAAATATTGTTTTTAAATACTTATATTAAAGTGGAAAGAGTGAATTAAAATGATTGTTAAATATAAGCATAACCTTACTGAAAATTTAATGACAGTATTTTTATTAGTTTAATTTCTCACTATTTACTAGATGATTTTTTACCTAAACTGCATTTGGAGCTAATTTTTATCCCAAAGCTAATATGCATAAAGATTTAAACATTCTTGGGGCGCCTGGGTGGCGCAGTCGGTTAAGCGTCCGACTTCGGCCAGGTCACGATCTCGCGGTCCGTGAGTTCGAGCCCCGCGTCGGGCTCTGGGCTGATGGCTCTGAGCCTGGAGCCTGTTTCCGATTCTGTGTCTCCCTCTCTCTCTGCCCCTCCCCCGTTCATGCTCTGTCTCTCTCTGTCCCAAAAATAAATAAAAACGTTGAAAAATAAATTAAAAAAAAAAAGATTTAAACATTCTTTAAATAATGAATATAAAATTACATTAATATTGTTTTTCTAAAAGTGTTTAATATCCATGGAAAGCCAGCCACCTACTAGTATACACGTAGTTTCTTCTTAACACTTCTCCCTTTGACCTTTTTATCTGTGTTTATTTCAGTTTTCATAAAATCATCCAATTTATTTTTTTTATTTTAGAATGCCACAATGTGTACAATTTTCTAAACATAGACAGTAGTAGATCTTTTTTTCCTGCCTCCCTTATTTCAGGGGGAAATAATAGTCACAATTCAGAAAACAGATAAACAATTGCAAGTAAAAGATCTCTGGAGTTACTTAGTACATTGTATTCTGCTGTGTTTTTGCTAGAAAATCCATTTGTATCCTGAAATACTGGGCATATAACAGTTTAATGTATTGCTTACATATTCGGGACATATGTCCCTTTCATTGGGAAAGGAAGCCAAGCTCAGTGTAAGAGACAAATGCTATTCCAAGGCAAACTAAGTAGAAGAGACGCTGCACGCCCAATCAACTTAGCCTCTGGGCTGTGAGCATCTTCAAAGTAGCCACTAGGGTATATACTTAGTCTGTAGCTAGTCCATTGAATTGCATTCCTATCCAGAAAATGATTGTCATAAAGCTTTGTCTTATTACTGAGAAATACACCACAGTATAGTAGCTACAGAAAGAAGGTATCCAGGGAAAGCCTAGCTGTTCAGGTAGATGCCTCTGGAAAGCAGCCAACAAGGCTGACTCAGGTGAAAGTTGCATTATTTATTTATGCTGAAAAGTGTAAAGAAGCTTGTTCCTGAGAATTTAATAAAGTGCTTTCATATAAGTTCCATTTCATTTTATATTCTGTTATGTCCTTCAATCAGGATGAATGTACTCTATCTTAACACAGAAAAGGTCTGGATTTTTACACATTCAAGATAGAATTCTTAAAGAAATATTCAATATCCTGCACTGCCTTTAGAATGTAACATCACATAAGAACAGAATGGTAAAATGAATTCAGTGGTGTGATAGCTGTGATTTTTATAGACATTTCTTCTAGACTCTATTGATAATGGGCACTATTTCATTACTATTAAAGTAGCTGATGCTGAACTGAGTCCTTAGTTACATTTTGGCAATCCTAAATTTGTGGATTTTAAAACTTTAATAATGTTATATAGGTTTTCAGAAAGACAAACATAAACATATTTATTCGTAATGAAATTGAAATAATCAGGATTAAGTAGATATTCAATTAGTATATTTATAAGCAATATAGAATTCAAGGTATAACTTATAGATGGCAAATATAAATATTTTAAAGGACTAACTTTTTTTTTTGCAATTATCAAGGCAATATAAAATATAAAAATACAGTATTAAAGACCAAGTATAGGTTTATAAACATAATTGAATATACAGAAAGGATATTTAGAATAGATCTTGAATTGGCAACGATCAGATTGGAAGCTCTTCCCAGTCATGGCCTGCTATTCTCAATGTTTATTCTAAGAAATTCCAGTCTGGCCATTGATTTTAAATTTTGAGTCAGTCACTTTCTCTATTCACATTTGACTTGATGTAAACTGGTGAATGTTCCAAATGAGGTAAAAACTATATTAGAATCCTTTCTAATTTTTTATAGCAAGGGTTTAATTAAAGTTTTATTGAGCACAGACAGATAATATGAGCACCAAATTTGTTTTTAATGCATTCACTTTCTCTATTTTCTTAATGGCTTTCTCAGGCTTGACTTGCCATTCTATATGGAATAATAGAAATAGATCTATATAACACCACACAGTACAGTAGGAACTTGCCAGAAACAACAAAATTCTTTCTAAATTGGTTATCTTTGAATATATTCTACCCATGGTAGTAAGCCATGTACAAAGATCAAAAAAGTCGATATTTTGCTAATAATGTATAATCAGTAAAGACTTGACCAAATGGTGACTAGCTAATCAAAATCTACTATTGAACTTATACTGAAGAAGGGAGAAAAGAGGACCAATTAATGGTTAATGGGGTATATTTTAAACTAAATATGAATATATATTTTTTAAATAAACTTGCCCAGAGATTGAATGACATAAGTCCATTACCAAATACATAATCGGCATCTTAAATATAAAAGGATTAGACTTCACCTGCAACAGAATATCACACACACACACACACACACAGACACACACACACACACACATAATGAGCAAATGTATCGTGAGAAAAACTAATGCAAGGTCTGAAGAGATTTCCTTGACTTGGTACAAAGTTACCTTAATTAAGATATCTTGAAGACATTTGAAAAAAACATCACAATGTCACAAGGACCATGGCTATCTATTCTTAACAGTCTTTGATTATAGTGGCCATATAAGTAACTGACTAAAACTTCTTGATTAATAAATTATCCAGAAAGAATTACACAGAAATATTGTGTGATATTATTTAACAATGCTTGAAGAAGAAGAAACAGCTTAATATGACTCAAATATGGGAAGGTTAGTAAGAATTAGTTTTACATGAAACTATAAAGTAGATGATTATGAATTTTTAAGACCATTGAATTATTGTGATGAATTTGAATTTGAACATAAAGGCAGTTGTAATTTTCATGTGGAGATTTTTTTTTTTTTTTGGCCAAGTAAATGCCATTATTAATGTATGCTGTAGAAAAGCAAATGGAAGAGGAATATAAAGAGTGCAATAGAGTAGGAGAGCCTGGAACAGAGACTTTAGGTAAGAATTCAGGTAAGAGATAATGATCTACAGCTTGTGGTACCAGTAGTTGAGATTTATATAATAACCATGTTATATATCAGCCCCATATATTCATTGCCTAAGGAGAAACTTCAATCCATGACCATCTATTATATTTATTTTCTCTTCCTCCTTCTTGGCATTCAGGAAGGAGACAAACAGCTTATAAGGGAAACATCCACACATCAGCTGAATTCAGAACGCTATGTGCATACTTTCAAAGATTTATCGAATTTCTCAGGAGCCATCAATGTCACATATCGCTACTTAGCTGCCACACCTTTACAAAGAAAGCGTAAGTATCCCTACACTTTTAATTTTTTTTAATGTTTATCTATTTTTGATGGAAAAAGAGACAGAGAGTGAGCGGGGGAGGAGCAGAGAGAGAGGGAGATACAGAATCCGAAGCAGGCTCCAGGCTCTGAGTTGTCAGCGCAGAGCCCAAAGCGGGGCTTGAACCCAACCAGGAGATCATGACCTGAGCTGAAATCGGTGGCTTAACCGACTGAGCCACGTAGGTGCCCATGATCCCTACACTTTTAAATCAAGAATATAGAACATAAAATATTCTTGTTTTATTTTTTTTTCAACGTTTATTTATTTTTGGGACAGAGAGAGACAGAGCATGAAAGGGGGAGGGGCAGAGAGAGAGGGAGACACAGAATCGGAAACAGGCTCCAGGCTCTGAGCCATCAGCCCAGAGCCTGACGCGGGGCTCGAACTCCCGGACCGCGAGATCGTGACCTGGCTGAAGTCGGACGCTTGACCGACTGCGCCACCCAGGCGCCCCTTAAAATATTCTTGTTTTAAAATAATGACAACCGGCTTCATTTGTAGAGCAATAAAATTTTATGGGCTTTATTTACTAATATAATTCATTCTTTGGGAAACATTTCAATGTTTCTTCACAAATTGCAGTTACTCACTGATCCCATCCATGAATAATAATAAAAAAAGAAACTTTTTAACATGCCTAATTGTAATATAAACTTTCAAACAATTTATTTTAGAACCATGTAGAAAGACTGAGAAAAATAATTTTATTTAAAATTGTAAAGGTATATTTTAAAAACAACTATTCCCAATATTGATATATTTTGCAACTCTAATGCTTTGGTTTTTATGACTTGCCACCACTTTTGAAAAAGTGAAAGTCATTGTTTTAGTTTCCCAAGGTGCTATACCAAATTACCACAAGCGAGGTAGTGTAAAACGACAAAAATTTATTCTCTCGTGTTTCTGGAGACCAAATGTTCAAAATCAAGGTGCTGGCAGAGTCACTCTCCCTCTGAAAGTTAAGGGGAGAATCTTGTCTTGCCTCTTTCAACTTCTGGTCACTCTTGGTGTTCTTTGGCTTGTAGGGACCTAACTGTAATCCCAGCCCCCATCTCCACATGAACTTCTCTTGCTCTGTGTCTCTCTGTGTCCTCTCTTCTTCTTCAAGGACACCTGTCATTGAATTTAGAACCCACTCTCAATCTGATATAATTTATCTTAAGATCTTTCACTAATTACATCGGCAAAAACTCAATTTTTAGTAAGGTCACATTCTGAGGTTGAATAGAAAAACTATTCAACTCACTACAGGCAGTTTGGATCTGAGAAGTAACATACTACACACACTTCATGGATTTCAAGATGCTGTAGACTCTACAGAGTATAATGATCTAATTAATGTGCCACCAAGAAAATACACATTATCATTTTAATTGTAAGATGACATCAATTGTAGGATTCAAACTGCTTTAAAAATGTCTCTGAAAAACATGACTCGTGGAATCAAGTAAACAAGTGATATCATGAATTTCTTAACAGATCTTGTGGAGACCATAGAAATCGAGTTCCCCATTAAGAAATGTTTGTACACGTGAGTCTGTGATCACCAGGTTGAGAAAATTTGTAACTTAATGCAGGTTTCTTTAGGTCGATCTTCCGTTCATTCCTTCATTCCAAATGTTGATTGCTCTTAAGCTTTCTTCTAATTGCATAAGTTTGCCACTGTTTATTTTTATCTCCATCTGTTACACTACCTTTGTGCAAACATTACTAATTCTCCCTCTCCATCCTCAGTTTACTAATGTGTGTTGGCACATATGCTGCTGCTTTATACAAAGAGGCGATACAAACAGAGGGTACAAGCAGCACATTTGGGATCTTGGCACCCTACGTCTCACGAAGTGTTAACACTTTGCACAATTAGCACATCTCCCTGTGATTTAGTTTCCTCATCTATAAAGTAGGAATGATGATAGGTGCAAAGCTATCCCAAAAGACTATTAGGATTTTCAAGATGATTGCATAGGGTAAATTTTCAAGATAATTTCAAGGGTACAGTTCATAGACTCCTGCCTTTTATGTGGAAAGTAACCTGATACCATTGACTATTGTAAAAGCTATTAGTAAAGGCTGGTATCTTGAGTTTAATGGTACCAGAGAACATACTCATTTTTCAAAAGAAGTTAGTGTGGCAAATCCAGGTATTTAAACAAAATGTGTCCTTGTATACCTCTCTGACAGACTAGTGAGAAAGATTTTTCTTGGACAGGGTTCTTTCAGTATTGTATAAGTCACAAGAAGCAGGTGTCTGTATTAAAACAGTGACCTCAGGGCACCTGCGTGGCTTGTCAGTTAAGCGTTGGACTCCTGCTTTTAGCTCAGGTTAGTAGATTGAGTCCCACATCAGGCTTGGCACAGAGCTAGGAGACTGCTTGGGATTTGTTCTCTCCTCTCTCTGTGCCCCTCCCCCACTCATTCTCTCTCTCTCTCTCTCTCTCTCTCTCTCTCTCTCTCAAAAATAAATAAACTTAAAAAAACAGTGATTTTGGTGAATATAAACATTTTCCTATTTTCCAAAAAGTGGTTATGAAATTTTATTCAGTTCTGAATCATGGTGAGAATCAGAGGTTTAAAAAGTGAAAATATTTCAATAAAAAGACATCCATACTTATTAGAACTAAACTGCCATTTCACAAGCTTTTACTTTATTTTCTACAAATATCCAGTTTCTAATTTTAGATTTTAGGTGTCTGAATAAAAATTTCCCCAGACAAAATTGCTGTAAAACTGTGTTTCAAAATAAGGAAAACGGGGATATTCATGTGTTGGAACAATGTACAACACATTTGAGTAACAATTCAGTTTTTAAAAAAGTAGTTATAATTTTGTTGGCATTCTAATTAAAATACTAGGTAAATTTCAAAATAAACTTGTGAAGTCCAATTATTAATTTTTCTGGTGCAAAATACTGACAGTGATCAAAGACAAATGAAAATGTTCCATGTTTTCTATGAAAAATGTAAAGATGTGTAAAAGAATAAGTTAGGCTTAATTTTCTTTTTTATCATTTGAGACCAGTTTGTCATCCTTAAGTGTGAATTCCCTTCTCCTTTTGCATTTTTTAATAGTGTGGATATTATCCAAACATCTATCTTCTTTAGTGGGCATATATGAGAGCATTAAGCTGTAAAACACCTTAAATCATATTTTTATTTCATAAACAAATGTTTACAGCAATAACGCTCATATGTCATTGTGCTTAAGAGACATTTTTTTTTCATAGAAAAATCAATTATGTATTAAGTACTATAGGCTTTATATGTTTAGCATAATACTTTAATCACAAAATATGCTATACATATCATTTACTAGATTTACCTAATACAGTAGCAGGCCTAAGGGGAAAAGAGTTTTGTCTCTGTTATTCAAAGCCTATTTCACATTTAATTTGTCTTCCTTCTGAATTCTTTTGTTCAGGGTTTCTTACCATTGGACTGTCGTCAGTGAAACGAAAAAAAGGAAACTATTTACTTGAGACAATCAAGTCAATTTTTGAGCAGTCCAGCTACGAAGAGCTGAAGGAAATTTCAGTGGTGGTTCATCTAGCAGACTTTAATTCATCCTGGCGCGAGGTCATAGTCCAGGATATTACACAGAAATTTGCCCACCATATTATTGCAGGAAGATTAGTAGTTATACATGCTCCAGAGGAATATTACCCAATCCTGGATGGCCTTAAAAGAAATTACAATGATCCAGAAGACAGAGTCAGATTTCGTTCCAAGCAAAATGTAGATTATGCTTTTCTGCTTAATTTTTGTGCCAATACATCAGACTATTATGTAATGCTTGAAGATGATGTTCGATGTTCAAAAAATTTCTTAACTGCCATCAAGAAAGTCATTACATCCCTTGAAGGAACCTACTGGGTAACTCTTGAGTTCTCTAAGCTTGGCTACATTGGAAAACTTTATCATTCTCATGATCTCCCACGTTTGGCACACTTTTTATTAATGTTTTATCAAGAAATGCCTTGTGATTGGCTACTGACTCATTTTCGGGGTCTTTTAGCTCAGAAAAATGTGATCCGTTTTAAACCATCTCTCTTTCAGCACATGGGTTATTATTCATCATATAAAGGGACTGAGAATAAGCTGAAGGATGATGATTTTGAAGAAGAGTCATTTGACATCCCCGATAACCCTCCTGCAAATCTGTATACCAACATGAATGTTTTTGAAAATTATGAAGCAAGCAAGGCTTATAGTAGTGTCGATGAGTACTTTTGGGGAAAACCACCTTCAGCAGGAGACGTCTTTGTGATTATATTTGAAAATCCAATTTTAATTAAAAAAATTAAAGTGAGTACTGGAACAGAAGATCGGCAAAATGACATTTTGCATCATGGAGCCCTAGATGTTGGGGAAAACGTTATAGATTTCAAACAAAGTAGACAATGTGTTACTTACTTAAGACTAGGGGAATTCAAAAATGGAAACTTTGAAATGTCAGAGGTGAATCAAAAAATTCCATTTGATATACATTGTATAAGGATATATGTTACCAAGGCACAAAAGGAATGGCTGATTATTAGGAGTATTAGCATTTGGACTTTTTAGCCAATTAAACCAAGATGTCCAGTTCCTAAAACAGGCTTTCCTGTTTCCTTTTTTGCTACCTTCCTCTTTTGCTACTTTTGTCCTTTGGAGGGAAGGCAATGGATGAGACATTTTAAAAGAAAAGCCTAAGCATTTTTGCAGTTTTGATTTGCATATTGTCAACATAATTTTACTCTAATACACACTTGAGTTTATTTTAACTTCTGAAGCTGAGTATCAGTCCGTTGTGAATTTCATTTATATTTTTAATGTTATCGTGTTTGTTCCAAAATTTCAACTAAATGTCAAAAAGGTGACATGAAGGATTCAAAAAGAGAAAATTTAGTTTGCTGGATGGTGAGTCTTAAAAAATAGTGGCCAACTGTATGCACTTCCTCAAGAATTGATAATTCATTATGTCATCAGATAGCTCTTACTAAGCATCTGTGTGAATATGCAGTTGGTTAGAATGATAATTTTTTTTCTTGTAAACATAGATTTTCATAGACTTCCAGGCATCTACAATGAATACCTCCTCATAGAAGTGATGTCTTTACAGCAAAATTTTATGTGTAGGTGAGGTTATGGAAAGAAAAGAAATGGCTTAAAAATATTTCTCCCATGATTATTTATATAAAAAGGGGCATTGTTCATTGTATAAAAACAATTGAGCACCTATTGTTAATAAATTTTCTGTGGGAAGCAGTCTTTTCTAGTTTCCCTTTTGCAAAAAAGAGTAGTTATGCTCGATATTTTCAAGTTATATTGGGTACCTACATTTAATAGAAGAAATTAGAGAAGGCCTATAGTTAGTTCATTCTTACATTTTCAGTGTATGCAGAAAATTTTTGAAATTGATTTTATATGTTTTGTATTAAAATTCATACAGTTGAAATCGTTGTAATCTATCATATACTTTTTTTAGAGTTTAAATGGGCATCTTATAAAAGAGAAAAGTAGGAAACCAAGAAATCAGTTAACTTTTCTGTATTCACAGCTAGTTCATAGTAAAGCCAAAGCGAGAGATCGGATGTTCTGATATCCACAGTGCTCTTTCCCTTATGTGGAGATTGCTCCTCACATAAATTATGCTTTCTGTTCGCCTCTACATGAGTCTGAGATAATAAGTCATGCTATCTTGAAACAGCTAGTATAATTCTTTCATAAGTCTCATTTTCATTCTGTGGAATAAAACTAAAAGTGCCCGAAAGGATGCTCTTGTATATGCACCCAAATGGAGAACAAACTTTGCTAACTATTACTATAAGGGACTGGACAGTTGTGCTAAAACCATGTGTCCTATCAAAGCATTTCAGGACACCTTAGTGCATCGTAAAGACATTGGTTGTTCAGAATACCCTGAGCTTGTCGGATCCTCTCTATTTTTTGACAAACAGCAAAGATGAAGGTGCTTACTGTGAATATATGAAAAGTACTTCAGGTAAATTTATGGAGAGACTCAAAAATGTATGTTTTTATAGATTAGAAAGCATTTTATTCAATCTATCCAAATTGATTAAATTAGAAACTCATAAAAAATTGGGAATTTTTTTCTTTTATTGATACAATAGCTACTGTGTATTTTTTGCATCCAGTTGCTATAGTATAATAAAGAGAAAATGTGAATCTATAAATATTAATATTTCCTTGCACAACTGAGTCTTAAAGTCAAACGAAAAAATGAACACTGCCACTAAACTATAATCTTTGCTTTGATTTGGAGGATATTTGCCAGACACTTAAAGATATTCTGTTTTATTGGCTTTTATCATCCTTGTTCATTAACTGGCTAGTTGTATAATATTCTACATATATCTCAGAAATTACAGATAATCACTTTCTCCACTTTTAATGATAAAAGGTACACAACAAACACATGTAATATCAAAGCTTAGGCAGACTCCTTGAAGTGATTGTAAACTTCATGGAGTCTGCCTAGGTTCTGAGAGTGTTTCCAAAGACCAGCCATTGATATCAGCTTCTGGAAAATGCTTCAAGAAATATTGCTGAGGCGAAATTGAACATTTGCTAGAAAATTATAAATGTAAATGTGATTTAAAGTGGTTACATTTTATCTTAAGCTTGATCTTTTCATTATAGAACCCAGGTTTTAATAAGCTGGTCAATCATCTAAGGATGTGTCTATGTTTTTTTATAGATTAAGTGGAGGTCAACCTTTTTAAGGAAAGACTTGGACAAAGATTCTCTATTAGGGACACTGGGACAAATAACCTTTCTTTTTCAAAAAGATAATCTGACCAAGCATTCTTCACTTGATTCAATGTTGCATTTCCTATATTTAAAAGTTCTGAATAAGGCTCCTATAATCTTGTCTCCGAGACATAGAGCAAAAAGACACTTATTAGGTTTAATCATATTCAATCTGTTATTAGGCATAATGTTCCATCAATGTCTCTCTTGGCAGTTTTTTAAAATATGTATATATATGAACATATACATATATATACATATATACACACACATACATATATATATATATATATATATATATATATATATATATATATAAAATTTTCTTTGTTACAAATATCTATTGAAAAAACACTGGAATGTAACATGACAGTTGAGGTATTTATTTGCTATGTAAATAAGATGCTGACAGGGTTCAAGCACAAAATATGTACCTTAAATAATGTCTCAGTTTGTTTATTGTGAACTGACTAAAAAGTTTATTTACATTTAAGATTCTTCTCCTTAAGGGAGCCTTTTCAGCATTTATGAACATCAAAGAAAAGCATTTGTAAAAGCACAATAAAAATATGGAAATTACACATTTTTGGAAAATACACATTATAGCAGCAATAACATGTTTAGGTATAAAAATACATAGAAAGTGTTAATAGAAGCACTTTTGAAGTATCACTAAAAACCTATCAGCTTTTATAACATAGATATTTTCCAGATATAAAAATATAATTTAGAAACCAAGTATCATTTAAAACTACTTTTCTCATACAGCTACACTTATTAGACTAGAACATTCCATTTCTTACTGAACTATTGTTTCTGGGACTTTTTATAAAGCTATCATAGAAAGACTATAATGTACAATAATGGCATACAAACAAAACAAATATTTACAAATTATAAGAAAGGGAAAGCACTTGGTCTTCTAAATGTCCATATGGCACAATATTTGCCAGTTTGTCAACATGTTCTTTAGAATGTGGTGCCCTGGATTAATATGGAAAACACTACTCTCAGTGTCCTCTAACATATGATGATAAGAGCGTGATTCTCTTCCTTTGCCTTTTCAGTATTTCCATAATAGAGTTTAAGATTACATTCATTTTTATCACCATACTATCGACTAATAGAGCTCACCTTCAAACTTCATGACATTTATTACTGAAAAAACATGATTTGCCATTTTGTATATGTTCAATCAATTCTTTGAATGTTTCTTTTAAATTTTAATGTTAATTTCAAGAAAATTTCAGTGTTTCTTCTGATCCATGGTCCCATACTTTCCTGCTCTTGACTCCATCATTCAGGATTTTAACATAGCTCCCCAGCTTTATGTTACCACAAATTTGATATGTGTGCCTTTTTTTCCTCTCAGGAGATACAATGGAAGGGTCACATAGACCTGAGTTTGAAATCCAGTTTTGCAATTACTGATTTCCTCCAGATATGAGGAAAGTTATTTAACCCTTTTGAATCTTAGTACCTACATCTATAAAATTGAAATAAATTTACCTTGTAGGCTGTTAGAACTGAAAATGAGATAACAAACTAATCAATCAAGAAACATGTTTCCTCTCTTTTTAGCCATATTAGATATGTAAGAAAAGATATGGGCCTTCAAAACACGACCAGAGGCCATCGTCCTGATCAATATCATAAATTCCATTATCTTCTTGAAATCTGATTCTGACCACCTTTTTATATTTATATGGTCCAAAAAATGTCATGTACAATCATGTAAATGCCTTCTTAAAATCAAGATAGTCCTGTCATTTTATTATATGACTCTAGAAACCTCATCCAAAATTTGTATCTTTTGTTCTTAATATTCTCATTGTATTAATGATCATTAATTTTTAAGAAATCTAGACATTTTTTGAAAATTTAAGTAAAAAAAGCTTTTTGTAATTTCTAAAATTTTACTCGAGGTGAAGTTATCAGAATCTTTTTTTTTTTAATATCAAGTTTCTGTTCTTTGGTATTTTTTCCATTACTGGTAAAAGTTTTAAGTTTACTGGCTTATAAATTATCTGGGCTATGATGTTGAAACTTGAAAACAGGCAGTATACGTCCTTTTCTACCATGACCTTGCTTAGAATTCTACTGCTTTGAATTTCTTCTCTGTTCATTTCAGGATTATTCTTGTTAGAAGGAAGAAGGTCATAACAAAACATAATTTGATTAGTTCTTGTTCTTTGTTTTTTGTTTGCTTTTAACTCTTTTTTAAAAATGTTTGAAAATTATCACATCATTGCATAGATGGTTATGTGGATCTCCATCTAGGTAGATCTCTATCGGTGTGTGTGTGTCTGTGTGTGTGTGTGAGTACACCTATATGTATACATATACATATGTGTGTATACCCGTAGATATCACTGTGTGTGTATATATTTGAATATATGTCCATTTGAGTGCATTTGTATGCTTGTGAGAGCAAGAGGACAGAGAAAAGGATTGAGAGATGTGTGTATCCTTAGTATTATTTGTGACCTCCACACCTCTACTTATTCTTGGCTTTAGTTTTCCTAACACACTGTCTTCCTGGTTTTGTCCCCCTTCTGAACTGGCTTTTGGTTACATGTCCTTAATATTTTATACATCACATTCTTTAAAAATCATAATTCCTTACGAATTTTTTTACAACCCTTTAGATTCTCTAAATTTCTTAAAAGTTTATTTGTTTATTAGAGGATCCCATGTCTCTCCAAACAGGATTTCACTTTTAGAATTTAGAGTTTAAATTTATTTTATTTTAATTTCTTAACATTTGAAGTCTAAAATATAAGTTGCAAAGCATTCTCTTTCTAAACTAT